AATAAATAAAAAGGGTGCACCACTGTCTTTTTATCTTTTTTTTTTCTTCAAATTAACCAACTAAAAAGGCCTTTTTTTCGTATCTTGCTTCGCTTGCCATTTAATTTTTGTATAGAATCACGTCACCCTGTATATATTTGTCTTTAATCCGTATAACGGAAAACATTTTTCTAGTTTGGTACTGTGGGAGTCATCTGTCGACGCGATGATGGTAAGTAACACAGATCGCGTTCGTAAACCACGCTACCAATTGCAGATTTCTTTATCAACTTCCGTTTCGTCCGTCAAGATGGCGCCTCAAAGCAAGGAAAACATTTGTTCGCTTGCTGAAAACAAATTGCTTACCGTACTTGCCCCAACACGATTGAGAAAAAATTTAACACTTCTTTTAAACCACAGATGAAACTGTGTATTTATACCAGCTACTAAAACCTACCCACTTAGACTCTCACCGCAATGGTGAAAATTTCCGGCTTTTGCGAAGTTGCCAACGGAATTAATTTTTATATTTTCATTAGTATTGCGTTCCTTTGGAGTAATTGTGCGTTTCAAAGTTGTTATGAAAAATATTTTTGCAAATTTAAGACATACCATTACTGCGGAGAACAGTACCACAGAAGAAGTGTATACCTAGAACGTATTTCCTTTGCCTTCCGTCGGAGGCAAAACGAAAAACGTAAGGGCTGAGTCGGAAACCAGTGGAATTTCAGATAATGAAAACTTGAAATAATGAAAGTAATTGTTAATGCTTCGAAATTATCAAAATTAAATTATCGGAAAGAAAAGATTTGTTTTAAAAAAATAAAGTTCTTTAATTGTAGTATTTCAATCAAAGCAAATTTATTTCCAATTTTTCAAAAAAAAAATTAAGGGTGTCCCAATTTTGAACTATTCTAGGAACATTAAAAATGTAAATAGAGGACTCCGTATTTTGTACATTATTAAATTTTAAAAAACTGGGCAAATTTTATTATTAGCATTTTATGCCTGTGAAAATAAAACAAAAAATTGAAAATAGGAATTGTGTGAGTTTAGAGAAAATCGGTTTGCACTTTTTGATATTAGCATTTCATGAACCATTGAAACTTACTTTGTGATACGTACAGACACTGTTTTCATGTTTCATAAAAATTAATAATAGCAAAGCTGACTTTTTCTTAATTTTTGACTCAACTTGTGCGTTATTTTTTAGCTAACGACTAAGTTTAATTTGTTGTCTACAAGCAGACAATAATTGGACGTGCAAAAGAAGTTAGTTCATAGCTAGGAGATTCAATATGCAAATTCTAATTCCAAATAAAAAAATATATATAATTTACTGATTTTTTTTAGGCATTCAGAAAGGTCTGAAAACAGTACACAATTCCGATCTTTGATCCAATTTTCAGTCAAGTAATCCATCTAAAAGTACCCATTTAACATATTTTTGAACACGCAATATTCCCGTAATGCAATGCCCGTAAATGTGCAATCTTTGACTTTTAAAATGGTAGTTCACTTGCTCAACCAATTTTTCTACTAACATACAACATATAATGGAGCTAAAAGCTGCCCGGTAATTGAACTTCTTAAAATTACCGATAGGGGGAGCACGTGTTCTAAAAGAATCTACAACTTACGCTAACATAAATTTTGTCATGAAGCTAAGTCAATTTGGTCACTCCTGGGACAACGCAAACGTTTATACCTCAAAAATGGTTAATTCCTTCAATCATTATGAATTTCAATGATATTCGGATGATAAGCAGCTCGACATTACTTCAACCTAACTCAACGAATAACTGCAATAGCTCAGCTACATTCTGATCAAATCTGATACTTATCCGAGAAACTAATTAGGATTTCCAATGTCCACTCCAGAAACACTCGAACTGTGATGAACTTACTCCCTTCTCCACTCCAAAAGCTTTCTAAACATTCTTTTAAAACCCACACAAAGGTATGAAATTACCAAGAGTAGTTTTCTCTAAACAGTTTTCTTGTGGTTGTCAATTTTTTCATAGCATTTTTTTTCCTCACTAGTAGTTTTTTTTGTCATTTACTTGTAGCTTATAAGATTCTTGGGGCTAAGTGCAAGAATAGCACTTCCACCACTTCATCACCCAATTTTTCCTGTTTGTGTTATTTTTTCTCCTGGTATTTTATTTTATTCTGCGTTTCTCTATTTCATTGTGTATTTATTTTCCTTTTTGACCTATAAAGACCATTTATTATTATTGTTGGCATGGTGAATTAATAAAATAACTGAGATCAGCAATGCCATATTGGCAAGATTTTTCCACAAGCTTTTCCAAATAATTTTAGATGAAACCATGCCGGTTCGAAAGTGTTTTAAATAATAACACTACTACACTACTAACACTTGACAAATAGGAAAAGCGTTATTTAGTTCGACTTTTTATTCTGAATGACTGAGACCCTTTTGATTACATGAAAAAATTGGGAAAAAAAATCAAACCTGAAAAAAGGTTTTTTAATAAATATTTTAAATTTCCCTTAATTGAATTTTTTTGAAATTTAGTAGTGTTGTTTTTTTATGACAAGAGCCTCATTCGGGAATAATTAAATTAAAATTATGAAGTGCCGTCCCGAGAAGCACTCTACCGAATATGATAAAAAAAAAAGTTGGCCGCTGTCTTTTTTCAATTTTATTTTCTTAAAATTAACTAAACCAACTAAAAATGCAACTTTTTTGACTTTTGCATTTTTTTCGTATTGCATCGTTTTTGATAAAAGTATTAAAAATCAATTTGTTGCATGTCCATAATTAGCAATAAAAACTCATATTTTTAAAAATTTGAGCGTATAGAATCACGTCTTAATTTATAGACACTCACATCATACTTTTCTAGTTTGATACTACAAGAGCCATCTGTCGACACAATGGTGGCAAGTAGCAAAGATCCCGTGCATAAAACTAGTCACAGATATCTTCATCAATTTCAGTTTCGACCGTTAAGATGGCGCATCGCGGTGAGAGCAAGAAAAACGTATGTTCGTTGCCGCAAAAAAAAAAAATTGTCAATTTCAAGAACAACGGTTTGCACTTTTCCATTTTAGAGTTAAATACATCTTTAAAGATTCACCAACATGAATAAGTTATTAATGAATTTGAAGCTGAAAATTTTTCAATGCTAAAAACCATCAAATTTTTCGGTAAGCTTTTTAGATTATTTGAAGCAAGTGCTTGAGATAATAGCAATGAATAGTATTTAGACAAAGAGGAAAAGCATTATTTCGAGAAGAAATTGTAACAAGAAGTACGATTTTCTATTCTGATTAACTGATATCCTTTTTATTATTGCTGGAACAATACAAAGAACGCAGACCTATGCGGAACAGTTTCGCCATTGTACTTTTTAAAATCCATTAGCCCTATCGATTTAATTCAAACTCTGATTCAATTTTTAGGAAAGGGAAAACATTGCGCGCTACTGCTTTTCGAACATTTTTCTATAACTCTACCTCGTAGAATCTCTTGGATAAAGTAACAGAAACCTGTCAAATTTGACAATTAAAAATTATGCAAAGTCAAATACTTCCAAATTAGAAAGATCTATAAATATTTTCATAATTAATTAATTTAATTTCAGTTTCAATAACGGAAGGAATCATTTCCGATTATTGTCAAGTGAAAAATTATATACAAACATATTTTTTCTAGTTTTATACTGTAAGAGCCATCTGTCAGCTGACAGGGGCAAGGACAGATCCCGTTCGTAAAACACTCAACCGATTAAAGATGCCTTTATCAACTTTAGTTGCGACCGTCGGGATGGCGCCCCTGGTAGGGAACTAAGGAAAACGAACTGCCTAATGAACTCGCAAGGTGGCGCTTAGAATGAAAAAATATTTGAAACCCTTTGTAACCAGTTTATATCTACTTGTGCCTTGCACTAAACAAACCCAGATTTTCACTGCAATGGTGAAAATTTCGCGGTGCTGAGAAGTGGCCAACGGAATTCATTCTTGTATTCTCATTAGTCTTACGTTCTAGCTCTTTTGCAAATTAAGGATATGTTTTCCTGGGCAGAACGAAACAACGAAGGCTGAATCGGAAACCAGTACATCTTTATCTCCAAAAAAAATATTGCGTCAATTGGTATATTCAAAATGTTTTTCGGCGACAATATTATTAAGATTTCTTCAAGACATGGGGATCTCGCTCTGATATCAGTAAGCTTTTGGTTAGTAACTCGTCGAGAAACACATTTAAAAGTATTTATGGCTTTGTTCATTTCAATGACAGCTTACAAATTGACAAGGGCAACAGAATTTACAACAGTTAGAAAGGTTTCTCTTATCCTGTGTTTCCTGTCTCCTTTTGTTGAGGAGGCCGGTTTATACATCTGGTCTTTAACATATACCCACAGAAAATGGTCCATTTCTTTTAGATCATGAGATCTAGGTGGCCATCTAATAGGACCACCAGGAAATAAATAATTTAGGTAGTTCGTTCGTATGCGGGAGTTTCATCATGAAGGAACCACATTCTCTTCCTCACTTGGTTTGGAATAGTTCTTAACATATTCTGCATTCTCTGCTCTAAAGAGTGTAAATAAACTTGAAAACTTCTTCAAAAAAATGAAGCCTTACAAAGTTATTTCCTATTATACCAAAGATTTAAAGACCATTTTCCTGACTGTGTGTCATCATAAAATGCGGTCTAATATTAGCATAATTGGGAAAAATATGATACATGAATAAAACTCTTTTTTATAGGATGTCGATTCATCCGTAAATAACACATATTAAAAAAAATCATCTTGCTCAAATGCTTTCTTGTGCCCATTTACAAAATGTTGATCTAATCTGATAGTCATTTTCATTGAGTTCTTGATGAAGTGCATCTTATTTTTTATACATTTGGGTTTTCTGTAACACTAATATTTGAAGTTTATTTTCCTCGTTCACTACAGTCCTGACTCTTTCGTTGTTTTCAAAATCAACACTTACAGTTCCAGTAAAACGAATTCATCAAATACTCAAGAGTTCTTTTGGAGGGTCGCCTTCGCATAGCCAATAATGAATGCATTCTTCAAGCTAGATCCCGATAGGAAACTCATGTGCCCTTTAATAATAATAAATAATAATTAATTAATAAATTAAATTAATAAAATTAGAGCTCTCGGTCACAAGTATAGTATTAAACACAGGGCATTTTGACAAAATAATGGTCATAGGTAGAGACCATAACAACCCTACATTGGGTTATTGATATACTAATGCAATAATATACAGGACGTTTCATTTGAAAAAATACAAGTTCGGTTTTGCACATATTTATCGATCAATGAAAATAATTTTAAATTGGTTCTTTTAGTATATAACTTTGGTATTTAACATTTTTTTCTAAAACAAAATAAATGAGATATAGTATTTTAACAAACTTTTTGGACACCCTGTATATATTTGAAGGATTTGCCCCTTCTATGATGGCTGGGTTGGAATGGGGGAGGGGGTGTAAAAAGTCTTTTTTTTAATATCAACATACTTGAATATTTTAACGTATCTATAATGCCTATATGTTGTTGTATCACAGCAATTTTGACTTCACCATACCCTATATTCCGGAACTCCAGCTCTCGGCTCAGTTTACCTCCATAAGCCTTATACATGAGTATAACAAATATAGCATAAAATTTGTTGAAAAAACAATCTCACAATCTCCACGTACAATATAAAAAACATTAAAAACCCGATCGAAAAAAAAGTAACCCAGCGACGGAAAGTATATGAGTAGACTTTTATTCTTTGGTCCGTTTATCAGTGTCCTCATTCTCGCCCTTGTAGCAGTCGGCCTCCTTAGAAGCGGACGGCCCCGCCTCCAAGCGGTCCCTCAACGCCATATTGGCCTGAACGGAGTTCGAATAGCCGTGCACCATAGCAGCTCCCGTAGTTTTTGCCATCGATTTCGGAGTTATGAATTTGGCGTTACGGTAAGTGCAGTACGTGTTGCCCATGGCGTTTAGACCCGATTCGGTCGCCCCAGCTGCTTGAGTCCCATACCTTTTTTCGACGAAAAAAAAATGTCCCCTCATTCAAGTGGATTTTTTGAAAGGGCAAAAAATGAGCACAAGCATCCTTTATTTCAAAGGACAGTCCTCTAGTTTAAAATGATGTCCTTTGTTCTTTTGAAATGCGTCAAAGGACGGCAAATGTCCGTTAAAATAAGGAAATATTAATAAGTGCATTTAAGTAACAGCAAAAAATGTTAAAAACGTCTCATACTAATTCTATACACCACATAAATAGTCTATTTTTAAGCAGAAACTACAAGCAGATTCTACTTTAAAGGATAGCAATGTGGGCAACCAACATTGTTAACGACATTGCCAATTATTCATTGAAAGAAAGGTGAAGAATACAGCAAACTGCATTCAACATAACCTACCAAAGATAGGACGTAGGTCCCGAACTTCGTTTCATTTCTTTGTTTACTTATACCACTAAAATGACATTGTTTCTGTGGAAATATGCCCTAAGGTTCTGCATTTTTAGACAAAAAGTTTATATCTGGGCGCAAGAGGTGAACCGACACATAATTACTGACTTTCTATTTACAAATCTTGTGGATCCCTTGTGCAGTTTCAATTAAGCTCTGAAGAAGCCAACATGATGATTGGCGAAGCGTCGGCAAGTTTGGCTTAACAACAGACGCAGAAGAAATTCAGAAGATTTATAAGTAGTATTACAGTAGTCTGTGGAAGTTTCTTTGAAAAATTAGTGGCTTTATTAATAATTCTGCTTTCCACTTACTAATTCGTAAATTTAAATAATACCCACCATGACCATAAAAATTATAACTGACGAAGTCCTATAGAGTAATGAAATAGTGTCATAATTATACTTTAACCTTTGGAGAGGAATTTTGTGTCTTCGTTGTGGAGCTTGTATAAATGATTGCATCTCAGCTATTAAATTTTTGGTGGTCCCTTTGTTAATAAATTTCTCGTTAAGATTGCGCCTTTATGCATGGATATTCCAATCTTATTATTTCTCTAAAGAATTGTTAAATATTCGTTGAAATGAAAATAACCTCAAAATTTACAGATTTTGCACATTTTCATAAGGTAAAAAGTTTGCATAAAAATTTGCGACTGCCAAATTTAAGTCTGAAAAATTATGAAAAATTACTAAGCCGCTTTTAGGTTACCACAAAATTGCTCATGAAAATTTCTGAATTGTCAACTAGTAGCTCAAATAAGTTAAAGTAAGTTAATAATCAGATTTAGCAATGCATTGTTAACCGAAGCAATAGAGACTCCAGCCAGCAGTGTTACTTATATTGTTACAAGAATCTTTAAGAAACAGAATAGGTATGGTTATGTGATTTTAAAAATATTAACGCCCTAAGTATGTGTCGTTTTTGCTTGGCGTTTTCAACTAAATAAAGGGAGAAACTGTTCCGATCCCTTTAGTGCTTGTTATTAAAAGCGCCCAAAGTAATATAAAATTTCAAGTTAGCAACATTTGCGTAACTTGGATTTGGATGTTGAAAACCTGATCTCTCTTCTAAGCAACAAAAAAATATTCCTAATATTTCTGCTCTAGTTCCTATTAAAGTAGAAACACTTCGTTTGTAATTTTTTTGAAAAAACAATTTAAAAAAAAGTAGGCCATTTTCGGGACAGAGGATCGTAAGTTTTCTTGAGATCTCTCTAAATTGCTTAAAAAAATGTTTTACATTTGAGAAAGATAATTTTTTATATCATATTTATCTTTGCAAGAAAATAGATTTAGTGACTTCACTGAAATTATTGAGAATCTCTAACTGCAATAAAAACTAAATCTACTCCATTTTAATATAATTGAAAAAAAATTAAAACCCAAAATTTATTTTTTAAAACCTTCACCTTAACATCATTACAAAAAATTTAACACAATTCCTACGAAAATTATTCGATATTGCCGCCGATTAATCTAAGACATTTTAAAATACTTTTACTTCCAATACAAAATATCGTAGCTCTTCTAATTTGTTCTGGTTTTAGAACTGCAAAACATATTTTAACAAAAATTGCATGATTTTTTCATTCAAATATGTGAAAAACTTTTTTCAAAAAGTGGGAAAGAGTATTATTGTCACTGATAAATTAATAAAGACAAATTTTCTAAATTCCATAAATTTTCTAAATGGACAAAAAAATATTAATTTCGATTTTTTTTAAAATTCAGTTCCTTGTTTTTTTCTTTCTTTTTTTATATTCCGTCGTAACAAAAAACTATTAACTTAAAACGTTTCTTCAAAAAGTGGAATAGAGTATTGTCAATGTTAAATTAATGAGGATAAATTTTACAAATTACATAAATTTTCCAAAGTGAGATAAAAATCATATTTTAGAATTTAATTAAAAAACTATTAAGTAAAAATAATACATAAAAAGTACATCTAAGACGTTTTTTAAAAAAGTGGGAAAGTGTATTCTCTGTGTGAAATTATTAAAAATAAAATTTCTAAATTCCATAAACTTTCCTAGGGGACATAAAAATAATATATTTTTTTTCTTCTAAAATTTAATTTTTAATTTTAGAATTTTCTTTCATTAAATTCCGTCGTAATTAAATTATTAAGCAAAAATAATATATACAAAAAATACGCTCAAAACTGTCTAAAATAGTGGAAAAGAGTATTATTGTCAGAGTTAAATTAATAAATATGCATTTTATAAATTCCACAAATTTTACAATGGGACATAACAATAACATTTTGGAAATTTGATTATTTAATAAATTAGTTAGTTTGTCCAACCAAATGTTAAACCTTTTACCAGCCAATCTACAAATAACCTGAAAATATTCATTTTTATATTAATTTGTTAATTGTTTAAAGATACCGTAATTAATGGAAAGTGCTGAAAACTCTACCAGCTTGTATTTATATGCATTTTAAAATTGTTTTTTTTTTTTTCAAAAAAATTAGCGAACTCTTGATATAACACAGCCAGTTGGTACATTATAACCAAGTTTTACTGTATTAAGGTGGTAATATTTAAGGCAACAACCTAAGTTGTTAAGGACGCGCAAAACCCCAGAAACCAAGCTTATAGTCACATCAACCATTTACAAAGCAACTTACTTGTGTTCCACAACCTTTACCGTGTTGTCTTTCAAGCTACGCCCCAGCACGGCCGCGGACGTCTCCAACCCCCTGTAGATGGTCGAGAACCCCTCCACAGCCCCGGCGGCGACCGTCAGCACGCCCCTCACCTTCTCCGACGCTTCCTCTTCCGGCATGTTGAACCCCCTGGTTAACAGCTTGGTGCCCTGTTTCTGGATGTGGGGCGCCAAATATTGACCAAGGCACACTGTGGCGTACCCGACCTTTTCCGCTAAAACAGATTCCCCCCTCTGCAGAGGCCCTCCGGAGAAGAGTACCATCAAACTAACCTACAAAGCCCGTCACCTTGGCAGCTTTACTGGTAGCAGTTTCGGCTATTTGGAGGCCCTTGGAGACGGTAGGGTTCACCTCGGATGCCCTTTCGACGCGGCTGATGCTGTTAATAAGCTTGGGCGTATTTTTGTCGATGAGATTCCCCGCTTTCTCCGCTCCCCTTATGAGCCCCTGGGACAAGTACCAAGCACCGTCGACCAGTTTGTTTGAGATTTTCGTGCTGACATCTTCGCGAGTTTGCTCCCTCCTGCGTTTCTCCTGCTGGATTTCTTGTTCCGTTTCCTGGGTAATTATTCCGTGGAGGATGTTCTCCAGCAAATCGAATACGTCTTCGTCCGCATCCGACGGTAAAATTATACCCACAGACGATCCGGGCACTTCCGAATAAACGTCCGGTAGAATGAAGGCGCCGTAATCGGTACGGTAACAGGGGGACACGCCCGGTACCAATGGGTACACCCATTCGCCGATTTGGAGTATGGCTCGCGGAGCATTGGGTTCCTGACCCTCCACTAACGAGATTTTCAGAATTTGGGGCTCCTGAGTGGACAACACTTCCCCGCTTGGTGATATAAAGTAGAGACGGACGCCATGGTACGTGTAAATCACGTCCTCTTGCAAATGGAGATTGGGATCGAGACTGAGGTCGTTCAACGCCTGAGCCAGTTCCCGGTAAGTTACCGGCTGACTACTTTCATCGGACGAAGACATGGCCTCTTCGTAAGACGGAGGGTCCTCCAATACTGAATTGTAGCTCGGAGATGATTGGATGCAATGGATGCGAGTCAGCACTTCCGCCCGCGTTTTCTTTATCTTTTGCACCATTTGACACGCTTTGTCCCACGTCACGTCGGGAGTATCGGGACATTGCACTTGAATGTTAAGCGCTTGGTCTATCAAACTGATTCCTTCTTTGTACTTTTCTAATGCCTGCACAAAGCAAACCAAATTGATGCCGGCATAATGCAGTGTAGGTATTTAGTACCATTTTTACAATCTTTTATGGTTTTGACTTCGGAATGAGTTTAAGACCCACCTGTTGTGCCACAAGCCACCGCCGTATTTAAGATGTTAGCCGACAAGAACTGTGCCGTGCGGACTGTTGCATTTTAAGAATAGTATTTACAAGAATGGATTTTTCACTTCACAGACTAATAACAATCGAGGAATGTTATCAATGAAACTCTACAAAAATCAGTCAGCTTTCAGCATTTGTATGCACGAAGTACCGAAGTACGATTATGGAACGGCATTGTGGAATTGTAAACCTATTTACTAAGGGTTACAAAGAGACCCCCAAGTGAGGTAGACCTACGGTTAGACCTTCACAAAAATGTACCATGGTTAAATACATGATTATGTTGTAAAAACGGTATATAGTTTGGATAACTCTATCAAAAGTTTAAGTTCTCAAAACCATAGTTGATTGTTGAATTTTTTGATTGTTGCCAAATATTCAATTATTCGTTAAGGGTGGTAGTCGCTACGCAATTTCTACATGTATTTTTAGCAAATAATGCAATTTTTTCGAGCAAACTGGGTTTCATAATATTGGCGGAATTTTGTGTTTAAAGGTTGTTTATTAAATTTTTATACAACAAGAATGTTTATTTGAAGTGCCGAACAAAATCCAATGATGCAATGCAATATTAATTCACGTATTCCCTAAAACTAATTTCTGTGCAATTTAATGCTAATTTAGGTGAAATATTGAAATACAGAGTTTTATTAGAATTGTTTATTGTCTTTTATGAGTAAGATCACGTCAAGTGGACCCCCCATTTACCACTTGATCATAAAAAATTAATTTAAATATATTTTTTATTAGTACTTATGATGGAAAATTGATCCCTCAAACGATTTTTTAAAATTTTGATTTTAACAACATTTTTTTATAATGAAAATTTTAAGCACTTTTAATTAAAAAATGGATTAAAAATCAAACGTAAGAGATAAATTTATGGAATTTTCAGCATCCATGGTAAAATGTCTGTACTTTAAGAATATATTAACAACTTAAAATTATTTGTTTATTTTCGTATTGTTAACTTACTTTTAAGTTAACTAATGAAAATTTAACTGATTTGTTGGAAAAAAAATCATGTTTTTTTATCAGTCACATGCTTTACACATTTAAGTTTAAGAAAATTTCACTGCTCGTCATTAGTTTAAACAAATGAATGTATGAATGTGCCAAGCGTCTCGAACTGCATTGAAGCTTTTATCAATGATAATTTAAAATAGTAATACAAAATATTATTATAAAACAAATTTTATTATTATTTATGTAATTTTATTATAATTATTAATAATTAAATTTTATATTTTTTTAACAATGTTATAAAGAATACTATTTTTTTAAATTATTTTTAGCAAGTAGCGTAAATTTAGAAAAAAATAATCAACTTTAAATTTTTAAAACTTATGGTCTATATTTACTTTTTCTAGGTAATTTGGTAAATAATTATTTTTAAATTTACTAGTCAACACTCATCATCAACATCTTTAAAAAAAAGGGGTACTCCATTTAAAAAAATATAATATTGTATTATGTCTCGTGTGAGCATTTAAGACAAAATCGGAGGAACAGGTAGATTTGCCCTTACTTCAAAAAATGTCGATAAAGGAAATGCTCACATTTTAATATTATAGTTGAAACACTAATTTCACTTCAAATTTAGTACCACTCCTTTATGGAAGTATTCATATTATAATATTGCTTTATCTGGCAAATATGGTTAATTATTTTAGAAACATTTTTAAGTGATTTTATTTTCCAACACCAAATAATAATAAATACGCCGCAATAAATAAACTCATTAAAAACACAAATCATTTTAATCACAGTAATAAATAATAGTCATAGTTGCAGAAAAAATATTGATTCTATACAAAAAGGGTAAATATGCAAAAAAAATTAAAGTATAAAAGGGACTGGTACAATGTCCTGAAGTATTAAGTTATTGGCCCAATGTTCTAACATTTTAAAGTTGTTTAAATTTTTTAAGATTAAGTTTAAGAATTATTGTGTTCACATGTCGTCAACAAATTTGAAATTAAAAAGCACAATAAATTTGTCTATTGTGGAAATATGAAAATTGTGATCATTATAAAATTTAAGTGAATGTATTTGTTGTTTACATGGTTCTCACTGTTATAATTTAAGCTGTTTTTGTTACTAAATTGTAAAAGGAGTTGATTTTCAATATGATGTGAGTAAAGGTGAGTATGGTGTGATACATTTATTTTTTTAGTACATAAGCAACATCAGCAAACTGATCACCTTTATAGTCCATTAAATCCCAATCTACATTTTTTTCAATGAAACAGCCCTTGCCTTGATCGATAGTTTGAGGAACAATATTATTAAGTAGTTAATTTGGTACTGGATTTTCGTGAAAAACCTTTCCTGCCACAGAACAGACCAAAGTTTATGTTGAAAACAAACAAAACGGCAATAGAAATCGATAAACACTTTTTTAAAATTCTTGTTAAGCAATTAAATAACGAAACTATCCCCTTTATGATTAATATTACCTTTTTGAGTAGGTGCAAAAAATTCCACACAGCAAAGAGGTTCTGTAACCCCCATAGAAATTCCTAAGTAAATTTATATTGAAGGTAGCCCTAAAATCTGTGCCCAAAATATTCCAGCGTGGAAAAACAGAAAAAAAAGAAGTTAATAGTCACAGTTAATTGAACAGAGTTAAAGGGTATATTCAAATTTCACTTGAAAGCTCTTATTAGTTTCATGACAGCTTATAAAACTGAGCCACGAAGCAATGGCCCTTGCAACTATATTCCTTTTTCAAGTGACGAAATTAACATATAATTAATAAAATATTGTCTTTGTCTTTAACACTTTTTTCCCTCAAAAAATTTTGACATAGAATTCGCTAACCTTAAAAGGTGACGTATTTATTTTATTGTTGATGTGCATTCCAAATCATAAAATAAAATTTTATATAAACAAATATTGACACAGCAAATTTTTCCCTGGATGAAAGAGTCAATTTTCTTGAGGAAAATAAGTATATAAATAATAATGGTAAATCTAAGGGCATATTGTCAAAGTGTCACTTAAAACGGAAAGATTTCACAGAAACCGAAGAAAACATTTATGGAGTTTACAGGCATGTTTGTTCCCAGTTTTCTAAACTAAAATATTCATTGCTGCTCAAGGAGAGAAATCAAAAACTTTGATAATGTATGATTCAAGAAGAGAAAGAAACTTTGCTGAAGAAAATCTTAATGAAATTACAGTAAATTTTTTAAACTCCCAACATTAGGAATGCTAATAGAAAATCATCTGGATATAAGATGGAATTTCATAAGACAAAATATTTGATTGAGTATTTATGTTAATTTTCTACTGTCCCTGCTACTACTAATTATTACTGCTATGAAAGTTATGTGTGTTTTAAATTACTAATTTAATTTACTGAGCCCTGTTATATTTAGTTTGTATAGAATTTTCTTTTCTTGGTGTTCCACATTAAATATATATTTTTATTGCTATAACCTTGGTACATTTTGCAGTTACTGACTAATATACTATACTATACTAATATACTAAAGATTTTTAAACTTATTTGCCTTATTTACCAATGTGTAATAGAACATAATTTACAAATTTTGGGCACTTCCAAATAGACATTATGTTTAAATTGAATAAAAGTTGAAGTTTAAAATATAATATATAGATTGACAGATATTACAGGAATTTATTTTATCGATAACCCAAATATTTTCTCAGGACACCACATGGTGGCGCTGTTCTTACATGCTTTGCTTTGCTTTGCTAAGAACCCTGTCTAGGTAACAACAGGTTTCATTTCTCGATTTTTAAATGCAGGAACAAATAAGTTATCCAGAAAATGCCATTACATTTTAAATCAAAATACCTTGCTCATCCTGAGTGGTGCATCAAATTATTTCAAGTCGGTAAATTCTAATAGAAACTAGTTTGTTTAATATCAATTGCTAAAATAAAATGCAGCACTTGAAACAAAAACAAAAATAACTAATGGACCTACGTGGCCCTAAATTGAGATCATGTATAAACAGTTTACCAAATTTTACTAAGCATTGCCATTTTCGTATGGCATAGAAAAATGAGTGTGGATTTTATCGTTTTAAAAATATGAAAATTGATGTTTCTTTTTGCAACGGTTATTCATGTGTCAAATTGTACATACTCAGACTCATTACTTTAATTGTAATTAAGTTAATGTGACTGTGTTTTCTTTTTAAAACAATTGCCTTAACAAATAAAGGATGAGCAGTAACCATAAGTCTTAGCTTATATACCGATAATTCCCAATAGCTGTAGGATGTTATAAAAGTATCTTACTTCGTGAGGCTTGTCTCGCTCCTCCAGAGATATTGCTTGTTCTATAGCAGCAAACGCCTGGTCGTGCTTATTTTTGATTGCTAAATAAGTAGAGGTCCACAAATCTGAATTGGCATTCCCCATTTTGTCATTAGTGCTCGCCGTGGACTTGGGAATACGAAACTGCGAGCGATTTTGTTTATTTCAATCGCACGAAACAACGACGTGACCTTTACACTGAAACTTTCGGGACTAGTGCGTGTTCGGAAAACATTGGTTTTTGAAATTCTCGGAAGATACGTCATTTTCAAAATTACAGCGAGCTTACCTGCAGACAAGTTACGGTCAAGTCTGCACACGCTTCACCCTATGGCCACTATATTCCCAACAATATCATGCTAAACAATCAAGTAGCTATTATTTGAAATTCAGACTGTCATCGCCATTGTAAACTTCTACTTCTTAACGTTTACGCTCCCATTGGTTTATATGTTGTGGTCTGTGGCGTGACAGGTAGAGGATATAAATGCAAAACGCAAAAGGATGGTGACGTATTAGAGCTCACTCAATCCAAAGATGTGTGGCCTCCGTCATGGAAAAATAGAATATTTTTCGCTCTAAAAGTTTTATTTTTCATAGATAGTGATTAGTAATAAGTTGTTAACAAAAGAATTAATACTGCTTTTAGCCTTCAAATCTAAAACAGGATCGAAATTTCATTAGGGAAAATAAATATCAAAACAGAAAAACGTCGCAATTTAATTTGTCCAACTCTATACATACATACATTTGTTTCGTATAAGAAATATATATATATTAACACAGTTCTAAAATATTTATGTTTGTTCCAAGAGTAGAAAGGTACCGTCGACTATAGTATAGAAAATAAACGTCATAATATCCTCAAACGCTATACAAACATACATCATCATTTTACTTCAGACAAAATTAAGGACCTAATTTCTGTACAGCTACCTAGTCTAAACCTATAGTTCTCCACAGGCAAATGTCACACGAGTCAGCAGGTTGCGCGAGACTACATCCTACGTCATCCTTAAAGAATTAGTTGACTTGGTACACGAATGAATGACTCTAGGGGTCGGAGATCCGGGGCTCGAAAAACTAGTATGAGAAGATGCTGAACTGGCTTGCCGACCTTTGTGATGTCATAACGGGTAGAGCTCGTGGTGGCCCACTGAGGTGTAAGTGCAAGCGCTAAGATTCGGCTCCAGTACTTGGGAATGCGACTTGAAGTACTGCTGAAACATAACAATTATATATAACGCGTTCCATTCGAATTTTGAAAGTGGTGCTAATTATTATAATATGTGGTATAGGTGTTAGGGTACGAATATTAATTGTGCTGTCGGTGTTGTATGAACTAGTATAGGTAGAGCGTGAATGCGACATTAATAGAGGGTGTTTCACGGTTGATGGTACCTTGGACGTTTACTGCGAACGGTATATTACATTGTCCTGAACATTTGGTTAGTTCCATAACCGGCGATGCTCTATCAATCTAAGATATTTTGAGACATCATTCGAAAAGGAATTTAATTTGATTTTTAATACGTTATAATATACAGGGTGTTCTATTAAAAAATGCACTTTTAAGTATTTTTATATCTATCTGGTTGGCAAACTTATAACTTTGTATTAGCTAATAAAAATTTAATTGAAGCTATGTTTTGGTCGGAACAATGAAGAAAATAATTTTTTTCTCGAAAACCGCTGTAGATAGGTAAAGGAACCTATTATTCAAAAACAATCATAAAGTATTAGCGGATCAGAACATGCAATAGCATACTAGAAGTGGCAAGGTAGCAGCCATAAAAATGTTTCAAATCGATAGAGCATCGCCGCTTATGGAACCAACCAAATCTTCAGATCAATCCAATGTACCCTTCGCCGTAAACGTTTAAAGTAGATACACTGGCTGATGGAAGGCCGAAAATACTTTTTTTAAAAATATTTGGATGATTAGGTTTTCGGATCTAATCTACTTAGTTACAATGTACACATCAAAATTGAATAGGAGACAAGCCTAAAAACCATTTTTATTTTGGATAAACATTATTAACAAAAACGCAAGTAATATATATTTTTTTATATGTGATCGTTTTTCTGCATTTTGTTTGTTTATTTGCGACAGCGCAGTAAAAAAAAGTGGTATTGTGTCTAGATGAGTTAAGTGATTGACTCTGAGCAACTTTAAGTTAATAATGTGTACCGCTACCAGCTTGAACGCCAGACACAATTCAAGCTATGTTCAGGCATTAGACAGGGGCGCTGCAGGAGTTACACAACCAACAGGAAACAGACCGGTCACAGCCAACTAGATAAGAAGAAGAAGAAATGGACAGACTATACGAAATAGACTACAAAGCACTGGACTACATGCGAGAAGACCGGTGTGGGTGCTTGTGCTTTCCAGAAGGAATTGAGGTAGGCGTTTACAGTAGGCCCGAGAACACTTAAGTGGAATGACGAAGATTGGACCAATCTAGATTTGGATTAAGGCTAGACTCGAAAAGAAAGAAGGGTTTGAACACACGGAAATGTGAGTTGTTTAGAAACTATCCAAGAAGTGGAGGCACGGTGATGATTTGGGCAGCAATCACTTTCTGTTGAAGAGTTTCTAACTGCAATACATTCTGGAACCTATAGTTCTTCCAAATGCAGCGCAAGGTGATAGTGATTTTATTTTAATGCACTACAATGCTTAACCACAGAATGCAAGGAGAGTAAGAATGTTTTTAGAAGAAAACCATATGGACCTTTTACCATGGTCTGTGCAATCGCGGGACCTAAATCCCATCGAGCACGCGTGCTTGATATTTAATTTAATTTAATATTTCAAACAAGAAATGAGTTTCTAAATTGTTTTGAGTAACAATGGTGTCTAATTCCGACAAGGAGATCTGGACAACATCATTAAAAACCTGACAAGCCTTACTTTACTAAAATGTTACATCATTTGGTTATATTATATTATTTGGAGTATACTAATCGGTATATTTTACCGGTTGCCTTAATTGCTTGCGTACAGGTAAATGTTAATGGTCTTATTAATTTTTGTTTACCGTTTCCAAACTATATTTCATTTGTAAACTTTATTAATGTATTTTCGATGATGCAACGTTGCCGCTTCTAATAATAAGACGGCAACATTGTTAAATTGACTATAATACTCTATATTTTACTATATTTATAGATTTCCTGTTCTTAGAATATTTTTGCTTACTACCGGATTTTTCGAAATTTTAATTATTTTTCTTTTTTTTCCAAAATATACCACTACAACTTCAACATAGCTGCAATTTTAACTCATAGAAAGCTGAATATTTTGGTTGTAATTTGCGAAAGCTCTGCATATTAAATTTATCTAGATAAGCTTACCCCATGCTATGGTATGGTATGGTGGTTAAAAATTAACGATTCTGACGTCACTTTTTTGAAACAGTCTATGAAAAGAGTTGGACATATTTCAAACTTAATTTAAAATAAACGTGATCCAAAATCTATATTTCAAAGTTACATTTTTTTTGTGGATCACCCTATATTTCATTTTTATCTTTAATTGCTATAGACCAAAAAAAGGTTAATTATTATTATATTTTCTATTCCCAAGAAATTTAAACGAATTAAAACATTGTTCACACCCTCCAACATATAACAAGCTGCTCATAGTTAAATTTACTGCTTAGCTGCAAGGTTAAATTTAACTGCCGCATAAAAGTTTTACTTCAATATTATACAGAGTGATGAAAACATTGATTCCCACACACATTTCTTATGCATTTTACGCAAAATGCGTTTTTGTATTTCATTTTTTAGCATCTTTGACCCTATTTTATCAAAAAAAATTGCAATTTAAATGATAAAATAATTAATCTCGTTCGTGTTCGTTATTCTCAATGCATATGCGAGTGCTGAACTGGTCTAGTTATTCATAATTTCATATCCTCAGGTGTCCTTGGAGGTATATTGCAAACAGATTCGTTTTTAATACGTTTATCAAAGCGGTATTGGGGAAACGAATGTTCCTAACAATTTGGAACAAGTTAGTAAGGAAATCGATCAAGAAAAAATGTAGAAAATTATTTTTGAATTTATAAACCCGTTTTCTGCAAAATTTTCTTTCGTTAGTGTTATCTAGAGTGAACGCCGTATTGGAACCGTCATTAGAGAGTCAAAAAAAGTCCAACAATCCAGAGAAAACCGCATCTCAATATCTTTATCCTAACCTAAAATATGACTAAGCAAAATTTAAAACTCACTGTTTTAAAATATTTTTTTAATAAAAATTAGGTTTACTCACTTCTCAACATTGTCAGAGACTAAATTTATTTTTAAGTTTTTGTTTTAAGTAGTAACTTAAAGAAATACAGCATCTTCTTTGACAGAATTATTGATTCCTAGTTCTCGAGATTGTTACAAAAACATTTTTCTGCCGTTATAGTTATTTCAATAGTTTTTTTTTTAGTAGGCTGTGAAATTAACTGACTGCTGAAACAAACCAAAACATTCCTACCTGATATCTGACTCTATACGCATCTTTCATGTCGTTATTTGGTGCTTGAAATAATTTCCTGCTTAAAAAATGACGCACGGCACTTTGAACATTGGTAAAAACTTTTGATTTTCCTTCAATTAATTTCATTGTGTTTTATCCTCATCAATATTTGGTTTCCAGAATGTTCGGATAGAGTTATTTATAGGCGTTGCGTTAAGTGAGGATAAAGATATAGAGATACACTTTTCACTAGGTTGTCGAACTCTTGTTCGACGTACAAAAATTCATATCGTTGCATTTAATTTTTTTTTCATTATATCAGAAAAAGCCATCTGGTGGCAGAGTACCCATGTGAAATCATCCCACTCACAGCTCGTTTGCAAGTCCAGCAAAAGCCCTTTTGAACCACTTCAAGTTTATTAATATCCATTAAGCAATTTTGAAGTTATCGACATTTTTTTCCGGAAATGTCGGAGCATCCCCCACCACTTTCCTTGTAGAGATAGAGTAAAAAACATCTAACAAAAAAGATTTGATTTTGTATGAACTTTAAAAAGGTGTTCACTTTAAGTGTCACTAATATAAGAAAATTTTGCAGAAAACCTGTTTTGCAGCCCTCTGGTGGCCATTTCAAAATTTTCACAAATAATTTCCAGCATTTTATATTGGCCGATTTACCTTTAACCCTTACTGGGACACATCAAACATCAGTTAGATTACCCTCTGCAGCTCCACTGAGATTGACACTTTTATTCTAATTGCGTTAAAATAAGTCCTTTAATCAACACACAAGATTGTTGAACAATTAAAAAAAATTATATAAACTTGACCACCCTGTAAATGTTAAAACATTTCATTTTATTCGTGCAACGCGGTCTTTATTATCGCGCAGCAGAGACACGTTAGAACGATTTACCAATCGTGTAATCGAATTAAAATACAAATGTACGTGTTATTGATCGATTCGGAGCATGAATAAATAAGAACGGCGCCTTAACGATAATAAGGGAAAATAAATCATGACGCTTACAACTGGCAATAAAATATTTACCACCGGCCATTTATGACAAACGTTAAGGGTCCCAATGGTTTTCCAAGATTGTTAGATTGGCATGACAAAGAAATTCGGCATATATTTTTAGAGTAAGAGGAGACCAGTTGAAGACATTCTACATTTATTAAATTGGTTATGGGATTTATCTAAGTTACACTGTTTTTTGTTCTAAAAATATTTCTAACTGACCTGACAAAAAAAAAAACAAACAACTCCTAGTCAATACTTTAAGTATTGGATCGGAGGTACACAGATATTTATTAGAAACACTTCACTGACTTTAAAGATGGCTCTTCATCATCACTGGATGATGCTATCCTAGCAATACCTACAAGGATCTTATTGTTCCTCCTCTTATAATGTGAAAAATCTCAGTATTTTGTTGTGGTATTAATGATATTATAGACTAATGAAGAGATCCTCCAATTCAAAGAGAGTTTTTACAGCCTTATTCTGCATAAGTATCCCAAATAGGTAACACATGTTTCTGATATTTTCTATCTGGGTACTGCAATTTAGATTTTCATGCAGGATGAAGCCCAGATACTTGATCAAGCCAACCTTGTTCAGGAACGCATTGTTAATTTTGATTTCGCAGTGACTTGTTTGTGAATTTTTTTCTTTAAAGATCGTGTGTTTACTTTTTTCGAAATTAATTTTGAGGTTTTGATGTAACCGCAATTTGT